TGGGATAATCGTGTATGATAGATGTGCTAGACATTCGGCCGATGAAGTTGGGATCAGATAAGGTGATTCATGTGTTTTATGGATTTGGAGACTGGAGTTCTCAAAAACAGATTGTTTCGTGGTTGTGGACTGTGATGATGTGCCAAAGCTATCCAGAAGATAGTATGTGTTATGGTTCAGTGATTGTGGACTTTCTGAAGGTTATGTATCTATTTATGGATGACCAAGATTGATCTGGGGGCCCATGTAGGCCCAATGAGGACGGGTATTCTACATCGGGTCGGATTTGATGACACAGAACTGTTTGTGCTGAGGGGTGTGGCATTCGGTTAGAGTTGAGTTTGTTAGAGTTCGGATATGTTCTATGAGTTACTCTTCTATGCTACGAGGGGTTGTGATTTATTGGTTATATGCACACATGGTGCGATTCTATTGGGGCCTTATAGCGAAATTTGAGCGAGATGGGTATTTGGGTGTTGCGTGACTGATTGCGCATAAGTTATGTTTCTTTCGGGTTTGTGTGGAATTGTGTCATTTGCTTCTCCGTGGTTATGGTCATGCACCTTGGGTACTTGATGTCGAATTGCGCGTGGTTATTAATTTTGAGCAAGGTGGCTTGAGGTATTTCATATGGACCAGTGTTTGGATGGGATAATGCTTTGTGTTAGATTCGTGAGTTATGGTTCCACGGTGTGTGATGGGTTTTTAGCATTGCATTGTGGCGGTACTTGTTGAGCTTGTGAGATGGTTCTCTCGTTTGAGTCATTTTCCATGTTTGAGTACATTTGAATTGTTCCGTATTGGTGCACAGATTGCACGGTTTGTGGCTCTGGATAGTATTGGTGCGGCATGTCAGCAGGGTAGTTGGTATTGATAAGATGAGGTGGTGGGATCTAGGATGGGTTCTATCGGATTTGGTTGTGGTATATTCGACAGGATAATGACGTTGATCGGCTTAGAAATTTGCTATAGTTCTTGTCGAAGGATAGGGAGCTCCATGACTTGTTGATCTGATAAGTGGTTATGAGTTTCTGCGTGTTTCTTTCATCATCAGTAGTGTACGAAGGTTTTAGAACGAGGTTTGGTTATATATGAGGTTTATTACTAGTATTGGTTTATTTTTAAGCAGCTACGGTAATTAGAAATTATTACTATGAGTATTTGAGTTATGTGGTATATCATGTGATTGTGTCTTGGGTTACGGTTAAGGCTCGATGCAGTTTATTCAGACTTATACAGTGTATAGATGCGGGATTTAGGTCTTATAGGAAATTTCGGATGTTGAAAAATTGGATTCCAAGGTTTATGGGCTAAGGTTGAATTAAGGATCTTCAATTAAGTTGTCTCGTCAGGCTTATATGGATTCGGGTGACATGGGATCACCCCCGGGTATGTTCATGGTAAGGTTACACGGTGATTTGATGGCTTTGGAACGACTCTTGGCACGTTCGAGGACGAACGTATGTTTAAGTGGGGGAGAATGTAACAACCCGACCGGTTGTTTTGAGCATTTGCACTCCGCTCGGTAGTTTGAGGGCATGAGTAGCTCCGTGTGATGTATTATGACTTGTGTAAATCGTCGATTTTGGTTTTCAGGTTATTCGGAATTGATTTGGAAGAATGATTCTCAACTAGGAAGCTTTAAGTTGGAAGAGCTGGCCAAGTCTGACTTTTGTGAATTTGGCCTCGGAACGGAGTTTTGATGGTTCCGTTAGGTCCGGATGGTGATTTTGGACTCAGGCGTATGCCCAGATTTGCATTTGGATGTTTCTAGAAGGTTTCGACACAAATTGGCGAAAGTTGGAAATTTGAAGGTTTAGAAAGTTCATAAGTTTGACCGAGAGTTGACATTGAGGATATCGGATTCAGATTGTGATTCCGGGAATCGGAATAGCTTCGATATGTCATTTGAGACTTGTGTGCAAACTTTGGGTTCATTCCGGGTTGATTTGGTATATTTCGGCGCGAGTTCTGAAAGTTAAAAGTTCAAAGTTCATTGATTTTTTATTTGAGGTGTGATTCGTCATTTTTATGTTGTTTGATGTGATTTGAAGCTTCAAATAAGTTTGTATCATGTTTTAAAACTTTTTGGTATGATTGAATGGGGTCCCGAGGGGCTCGGGTGTTTTGGATTATTGGTTGAGAAATTAGTTAAGTTAAGGATTTGGAGTTTGCCCATGGTCAATATCGGGTCAAGATGATCTCTTTTCGGTGCTTTGATTGCGCGAGCATGTTTGCATAGTTTTTTATGATTGAAACGCATATATGGTTTGTGTCCGGGAGGTTCCAATGAGTTTTGGGTGCTAAAACGAAAATTCTTTCGTTGCTGATTTTCAGGTGTAAAATAATTACGAAAATATCAATTTTTATCCCTTAAATTTCCAGACTTCATTTACAACTTCAAAACATCATATCTCCCTAATTTTAAGGTCAAATTGGGTGATTCAAAAGCCTATTTTGACTGAAATTTCACAAAGAATCTGTTGGAGGCATCAAAAGCGAGTTTCGAGATTATTTGGTAGACAAAACAAGGTAGAACAGCTGGGCAAAAAATATTTAATACTAAAGATTTGTTCATTTGGTCATATTTTGAGTTGGGAGCTCACAGTTGGGCAATTTTTTAGGCGATTTTCACCATGTGGATTGGGGTAAGTATTCTCTACTCATTTTTTATTTTACATCATAAATCTATCTTCATATTTGGCATTTGATTAGGGGTTCCTAAAGAGAAATTAGGTTTTAGCCGAAAGTTTCATAAAGTGAATTTGAGTGGAACTAGTATGGTTGGACTCGTAATTGAATGGGTTATCAGATTTAGTGATTTTTGTCGGGTTTCGAGGTGGGGGGCCGGGTTGGACTTTTGGGATGATTTTTCGGCTTTGACTAAAAATTCGACCTTTATCGATTGGGTTTGTTTCCTTTGGCATTATTTGATGTATTTGAGTTACTTTTGGCTAGTTTCAAGCCGTTCGAAGGTCGGTACGCGTGTGATGGCATTTTTAGAGCATCGCTTGGCTTGCTTGGTATTGAAATTGGCTTGTTCGAGGTAAGTAACACTTCTAAACTTGGTGCTGAGGGTGTGAAACTCCGAATTACGTGTTATGTGTTTGGTATTGAGATGAGGGACATGCTAGGTGACGGGCGTGTGGGCATGCACTGTGTGAATTGTGACTCTGTTATCCCTGTGGTATTGTGTAGTTACATGATCTTATCTGTAACCATGAAATCTCTACGTATTAGAGCTATTGATTTGTGACCCGTGTTAGAAACCATGTCTAGGCTACATGTTTATCCTGTTGGGACCCACTGAGGTCATTAATGCTATTGAGTTATCTGCTTACATTGCATTTACATACTCAGTCATACGCATTCATATGCATATCATATCTCAGTCTCTATTGCCATTTGTTAATACATCACATCATTATTCTGGGCTGATTTTTCATGACATTGAGAGCCCAGAGACTGGAGAAATTGATGACTGGGTGAGGTCGAGGGCCTGATGGTGAGGATGTTTATGGGATTGGACTGCATACTGCAGTATGTTTTATTGATTTATGATGGGAGCGGGCCGCATGCTGCAGCATGTTTTACTGATTTATGCCATGATTGGCTTGTTATAGTACTTGAGCTAAAGGATCCCCTCCGAAGTTTGTACACACCCCCAGTGAGCGCAGGTACCTACTGAGTGCTAGTGTCGAGTGCTGGGTGCAGACTGATTGGGAGGACTGAGTGCATTGATGCACCGAGAGTATGCATATGGTTTTATCATTGCATGGTATTACAGTTGGCATGCATACATTGACATGTAGGCATAGAGATGTATTTTTCTCATGCCATTTGAAAATGAAACATTTACCTGCTGAAAGCCTTTGGAAAAAAATCACAGTTTTCATACTTACTCATATTTTTGGCGATTTCGGTAAAAGATTTGGGTTTTTCACTGATATCCTGAAAGGCAGACCTATTTTCTGGAACTATGAACGAGTTGAGCATTTTATCTCTAAGTTACTTCTTTTATTACTTTCATTATGTTGTTATGAACTGTTGTTGGCTATTGGTGTTGGACTCCGACCTATGTTCCAGTTCGTCACTACTTTCAACCTAAGGTTAGGTTTGTTACTTATTGAGTACATGGGATCGGTTGTATTCATACTACACTTCTGCACCTTCCGTGCAGATGTTGGATGCTGATGCTACTGTGATCGAGGGAGCTGGAATTGAAGACGTACTTGCGTTCCGGTTGTAGTTGCCTCTTGTTCATGGTAGCCTTAGATTTATAAATTTTATTTATGTATATTTTAAATAGATGATGTATTTATTTCATACCAGCTTTGTAAATTCTAAACTTAGAAGCTCATGATTTGCACTACTAGTCCTTTGAGAATGTATAGGATTTAGATATTTTCCTTTACTTAATTGTCTTGTTAAATTTCATTGGAATGGATAGTTGATAACTGCTTACCTAGCGGGTTGGAATAGGTGCCATCACGACTAGTTGGAATTTGGATCGTGACAGCCGGACCAAAAATGCCTATTAAATGCTCCTTACCCTGTATTTTTTAAAGAGGTTGCTTCCATGTGTAGAAAAAGGTGTAACATGGTAAATGAAAGGGTAGTTTGGACATTTATGTTATCATTTAGTTAATAGTCTAACGGATATATTAGTTAGTTAGAGTCTGTTAATTATACTTAAGCTCGTTGTATATATATGTATCTTGTACTGTACAGATGTAGCTAAGTGAATGAATACACATTTCTTCCATTTATATGTATCCTTCTTCCTCTCTCTCTCTCTCTCTCTCTCTCTCTCTCTTTCTCTCTCTCTCTCTCTCTCTCTGCTTCTTCCTATCTCTTATTCTTCTGGGTGCAATATCAATTATCAGTTCATGGTATCAAAACTGTCAAGCTGAACTGTCTAGCTTGAAATTCGATTCTACAATTCTGCAATTTTTCAAAATAGTTGTTCAATTTCATCAATTTCTTGAAGAATCTTGACAATGGCGATCGAAGAACAACCAATTCCAGCTGTACACCAGTCTTCAAGTTCCAATCAAGGGGTAATTCCCAATCATACTCCTGGAATTGATTACAATCATCCCTTATTCTTGAGTCCATTAGACGTGAGTGGAATTCAAATTATCTCCTTTCAATTGAAAGGTATTGAAAATTATTCTCTGTGGTATAGGTCTATGAGGATGGCCCTGGTAGGAAAAATAAATTAGATATGGTGGATGGAACCTGTTCTAAAGAAAATTTTCCAGAAAGTATGTGGAACCACTGTAAAAGAGTAAATGTGATTGTGTTATCCTAGCTAATGAATTTAGTAACTAGTGGTCTTCTTGGTGGTATAATGTTTGATTCGAGTGCTCAAGCAGTATGGAATGATTTGCATGAAAGGTTTGATAAAATAGATGGTTTCAGATCTTACAATCTTCATAAAAATTGCTACTCTAAGTCAAGTAACAGCATCTATGTCTGTGTACTTTTCAAAGCTTAAAGATTTGTGGGAAGAATTTGAAGCGTTAGTCCCTGCTCCTGGTTGTCATTTTCCAAAATCAAGAGATTTTGTGGTTCACTTGCAAAAACTCAAATTGTGTCAATTCTTGATGGGTCTTAATGATTCCTACAATCAAACTAGAAGCCAAATTCTATTGATGAGTCTAATGCCTACAATCAATCAAGCATATGCAATGGTTATTAGTGATGAGAGTCAGAAATCAGTAGCTGCAACTACAGGGTTACTAGGGGCAAATCTCAGCACCACTACAAGGCACTATGATATTGCTATGTACACCAAAACTGGAGGTACCTTTCAAAAATCTAGGAAGAATTTCAACGTATATTGTGATTTCTGCAAAATGAAAGGTCACAACAAGGAAAATTGCTAAAAAAATAGTAGGCTACCCTGGAGATTGCAAGCCAAGAAAGAAGAATTTTAATCCTCATATTGCATACAATGTGTTGTCTGAAACAAATATGAAGAACAATCAGCTACCAAGAACAAACTGGACAGAGAATAACCTACAGAACACTCAGATAATTGGTAGTACAATGGGTGTTACAAACTCACAGAACATGGGATAGGAGACCTATGCACCAATATGCATGATTTCTCAACTGGGAAATTGCACATTCACTAGGGAGCAATATGATCACATAGTAAAACTCTTAAACAAAACCACTGCAACAGCTTCTGCAACACCTCCTTCAGCAAATGCAGCAGGTATACCATGTGCCTTACTTGCATCAAATAGTTTGCAAGATTGGATAATAGATACAGGAGCTACAAATCCTATGGTAGCTGACTTAGAATTACTGAACAAAGCCTCTTTAGTTCAAACAGGTCAACCAAAGAAGGTGTATCTACCAAATGGAGAAACAACTCAAGTCACACATATTAGAACTAGCACTATATCATATCAAAACACAATAACTAATGTGTTTTACATTCCTCAGTTCAAATATAATCTTCTGTCAGTTTCAAAGGTAATCAAGGAGATGAAATATTCATTTGCTTTCTTTTCTGATTTTTGCATATTTCAAGAACTCTTCAGTGGGAGAGTGAAAGCGATTGGTAAAGAAGATAGTGGTCTATATATCCTGAGCAGACAAAAATACAAGGAGTGATGCAGTCAGTCTAACAGCAAAGGATACCGAAGTCAACAAGAGATTAACTCAAATGATATAGATCATTGGCATAGAAGGCTTGGTCAAGTATCTACTATCATTCTTAAAAAGATACTACCAGTAAAGTCAGAAGTTATATCTGCTAGAATAGACAAATGCAGTATATGCCCTTGTGCAAAGCAGACAAGGTAGCCTTTTCCTATTAGTGGCATATGAACTACTACTTATTTTCAATTAGTTCATATAGATTTGTGGGGGCCTTATAAAGTGCCTACTATTGTTGGAAACAAATACTTCTTAACTATGATGGATGATTTTGCTAGAATGACATGGATATTTCTACTGAAAATAAAGTCTGAAGTGTGCACAGTTATACAATAATTCTTTGCCTTTGTGAAAACATAGTTTGAGAAAACAGTGAAAATAGTAAGAACAGACAATGAGACAGAGTTTGTTAACTCAATCTGTAGTGATATGTTCAACAGTCTAGGAGTAATTCATCAAAAGACCTGTTCATATACCCCTCAGCGAAATGGAGTGGCGGAGAGAAATCATAAACATAACCTAGAACTAACTAGAGCCATTAGATTCCAAGCTGAAATACCTATCAAGTTCTGGGGTTAGTGTGTTCTAGCTGTTATTTATCTCATTAGCAGGTTGCCTAGTTCAGCCATTGACAACAAAATTCCTTATGAAAGGTCATATGGCAGAAACCAGCAATACAACACCTGAAAGTTCTAGGATGTTTATCCTATGCTAAGATAGTTCAACAACATGACAAACTAATGCCTAGATCAAGGCCATCTATACATATGGGATATGTACCTGCTCAAAAGGGTATTTATTATATGATCTGGTTGATAAAGTATTCTTTGTAAACAGAGATGTCTTATTTAGGGAAGATATTTTTCCTTTCAAGAACAAGCAAGAGAACAGTCAACCTATATTCACCCATCTTAACATAGAAGACAATCTATACCTTACTGAAGATTTAGTCATGTATCATACAAGTTCTGAGACTCACACACAAGCAACTAACCAAGAAGAGACTTCTACACAACCAACTGACATTTTTCATTCAGAATCATCGTGATCAACCCTTCAATAGCACCAGACACACAACCACCAGTGATTCAGGAATCACAAGTTGCTCCTATTAATCCCTCAGATCAACCAAAAATCAGAAAGTCATGTAGAGGAAAGAAACCACCTATATGGATAAAAGACTTTGCATCTCTAAATGTTCATCAAGATGAACCCTATGCTTTGTCTAAATTTCTGACTTATGAAAGTCTCATACCAAAGTACCAAGCTTACTTGACATCTGCCTCAAGTACTATTGAACCACTACATATTCAGAAGCTGTAAAAGATCCTAGGTGGGTTGATGCCATGAAGGCAGAAATTGAAGCCTTACAGAACAACCATACTTGGGACATAGTCTCATTACCTGAAGGTAAAACTCCTATAGGTTTCAAATGAATTTATAAAATAAAGTACAAAGCTTCAGGTGGAGTGAAAAGATTTAAATCCAAATTAGTGGCTAAACGCTTCAGTCAGAAAGAAGGTATAGACAATCAAGAAATCTTCTCCCCGGTTGTTAAGATGAAGACTGTAAGGACTGTCTTAGCTCTAGCTGCAACAAAATAGTGGCATATACATCAAATGGATGTGTACAATGCCTTTTTACGGGGAGACTTGTTTAATTAAATCTACATGCACCTACCACAAGGATTCACAAGTGACGGGGAGAATACTCCAGTGTGCAGACCTATCAAATCCTTGTATGGATTAAAACAAGTCCCTCGACAATTGAATGCTAAATTAACAGAAGCACTACTAGGCTCTCAGTTTCAACAAAGCCAATATGATCACTCTCTTTTCTTTAAGAAAACTTCATAAGGTATTACTGTGGTATTAGTATATGTAGATGACATGCCCATTACAGGTGATTGCCCGAGTTTAATAGAGGAAACCAAACTTACAGCAAGCTTTCAAAATGAAAGACCTAGGAGAACTGAAATATTTCTTAGGCATAGAGTTTGCTACATCAAAACAAGGAATACTAATGCATCAAAGAAAGTATGCCTTAGAACTTATTTTTGAGGCAGCAACTAAACCAGCAATTACACCACTGGATGTCAACCTAAAACTTACGACAAAAGAGTATGATGAACACATCAGAGAAACTGAATCTACTGTATGCGTAGATGAAGAACTGGAAGATCAAACTTCTTATCAAAAATTGATAGGTAAACTTCAATATTTAACAATGACAAGACCGAACATCTCTTTCAGTGTACAAACACTGAGTCAGTTTCTATGAAGACCTAAAAAATCTCACATGGAAGCAACTCTAAGAATTGTAAAGTACCTTAAGAATAAACCTCGACAAGGATACTACTCTCCAGTACATGTAACTAACACAATTTCAGCATACTTGTGATGCTGATTGGGTTGCCTACCCACACTCTACAAGGTCTGTTTCAGGTTATCTGATTAAACTTGGAGACTCTTTAGTATCATGGAAATCAAAAAATCAAACTACAATTTCAAGAAGCTCAGCTGAAGCTGAGAACAGAAGTCTTGCTGCTACTGTGGCAGAACTAATTTTGTCACGACCCAAAATCCATTAGTCGTGATGGCACCTAACCCAACCCGCTAGGTAAGCCAACTAATAACTATCCAATTTCAATACTATTAATAAGTCAATTAAACAAAAAAAATAAACAATCTGGATCTATTACATTTCCTAAGGACCGGTAGTACAAATTATGAGCTTCTACGAATAGAGTTTACAAAGCTGATATGAAGTAAGTACATCTTCTGTTTGAAAAGTACGTTAACAGAGTTTTTTAAAACTAAGGCTACCATGAACAAGAGGCAGCTACAACAGGAACGCAGGTACATCTTCAAATCCAGCAACCATAAAACACAACAACATCTGCATCCGGAATCTGCACGCAATGTGCAGGAAGTGTAGTATGAGTACAACTGACCCCATGTACTCAATAAGTAACAAACCTAACCTTAGGCTGAAAGCAGTGACGAGCTGGAATATAGGTCGGGTCCAACACCAATAACCAAATAGCAGTTCATAACATTGTAAAGCAAATGAATAAAGAAAAAACTAAGACAAAGTGCTCAGCCTTTTCATAGTTTTCCGAAAACAGTTCCGCTGTTCAAGTATACCAATGAAAGCCCAAATCCGTTACCGAAATCGTCCAAAAATATGAGTAAGTTTGAAAACTGTAACTTTTTCCCAAAAATCCTTTCAACAGTAAATATGATGTTTCATTTTCTTTCTAGATAGCATGTGTGAAATACCTCTTTATGCCCACATATCGATGTGTGTAGAAGTCTCGAATGACATGATACCGTACAGCATGAGGAAAATGCATCTCTATGCCTGTATGTCATGTACATGTCAAATGCAATGCGACTCAGTAATAAAACCATATGCATACTCTCAGAGTATCAATTCACTCAGTCTTCCCAGTCACTCACAGTCACTCAGTCCTCACAGCCACTTAGTCCTCAGAGCCACTCAGTCCTCACAGCCATTCAATCTTCCCAATCACTCGGCACTCGGCACTCGGCACTCGGTAGGTACCTGCGCTCACTGGGGGTATGTACAGACTCCGGAGGGTCTCCTTTAGCCCAAGCGGTATAACAAGCCAATAATGGCATAAATCAACAAAACATGTTGCGACGTGCAGCCCGATCCCATAAATATTCTCACAATCAGGCCCTCGACCTTACTCAGTTATCAATCTCTCCAGTCTCTCGGACTCTCAATGTCATAAAACTAGCCCGACAACAATGATATGATGTATCAATAAATAACAATTGAGACTAAGATATGATATGAATGCATGAATATGACTGAGTACGAAATATCAATGAAATCAGTAAGGTGACAGCAAGAAACGACCACTATAGGTCCTAACAACATTAGCATAAAGCCTAAACATTATATCTAGCATGATTGACAGCTCAATTAATTAATCACATGGTGAAAATACAGATATCAACAAACTAGGGCCACTAAGCAGTGCCAAGGAAAGAACGGAGTTACAATTCACAAGGTGCACGCCCACACGCCCGTCACCTAGCATGTGCGTCACCTCAATAGCGATCACACAACATATAATTTAGGGTTTCATACCCTCAGCACTAAGTTTAGAAGAGTTACTTATCTCAAAAAAGCCAATTAAAAATACCGAGCAAGCCAAGCGATGCTCCAAGAATGCCATCCCATGCGTAGCGACCTACGAACGGCTCAAAACTAGCCAAAAACAACTCAAATACTCAGATAAAGCCCAAGGAAGCAATTACAAATGATAAAGATCGAATCCTAAATCAAATCCCAAATTCGGCCAAAAATCACGCCCGGGCTCACACCTCAGAACCCGACAAAACTCACAAAATCCGACAACCCATTCAATTACGAGTCCAACCATACTAGTTTCACTCAAATCCGACTCCAAAACGGTGTTCAAAATTCAAAAATTCATATTATGAAACTTTAGGCCAAAACCCCAATTTTCCTCTTTAGAATTCATCAACCAAAAGCTAAAATCGAAGACAGATTCATGGAATATGACCAAAAGCGAGTAGAGAACACTTACCCCAATTCATATGGTGAAAATTGCTTCAAGAATCGCCTCAATCCGAGCTACAAAGCTCCCAAAATGCAAAAATGGCCGAAACCCTCGAAATAGAGTACTTTATAATCACTGGGCGAATCAATGAATCGCGGTCGCGGAAGCAACCTCGCGATCGCGAAGAAGGAAATGCACTGCCCCCTGAAAATGCACTACGCGATCGCGTAAAAAGGACTGCGAACGCGAAGAAGAAGCGGACACTGCCCAGCTTAGCCAAACACTCTATGCGAACGCGTGAAGGCTTACGCGAACGCGATGCTCAAATTGCAGCAGCCTACGCCATCGCGTCTGAAGACTCGCGAACGCGATGAATAATTTCTCCCAGCCTTCAAAA